CTACTGTTCACGCGTTGACTCGCTACTGCTAACGTTATCACGCGCGCCCTTTCATATGAGGTATCACCCTACTAGTACAGTCTAAGGGCGTGTCCAGCGCGTACGTCTGATTACAGTTGGGTGAGGTGCCTCACGGATCAGAAGGATCAATAACTAATCTAAAACGGTTGGGTAGGGTTTTGACAAACAACGTACGCGCTAGACACGTGCTAAGTGTTACATCAGGAATGCATAAGTAAACTCTGTCGAGATAGTACAACTCCTTAGGACAACCACCCTGTATCACTAATTCTAGTTCATTGCGTTATTCATAGGCTTGAGCAAACTACCCGCCCGGGTCGAGTACCCGTTACCCGGATCCACCTTTAGGGCGGGTCAAGTATCGGGAATCATGAAAATTACCCGGCGGGTCGAGTCCGGGTTACCCAGGCGGGTTTTCAATACCCGCTACCCGAAATGCTACCCGACGTGTCGGGTAACGCGTACCCGACCCAGTCAGGTAAATAATACCCGAGGTCGGGTATTCCACCTAGACATGGGCGTAAGTCACGCTTTGTTTTAGGTTTTGCAGCAAAATGGTTTCGGAGGTGAGGGGGGACGAATGGATCATTTGTGAGGAGAAGTTGGAGTTTGTAAATGGGGATGAGTTGGAGACGAGGTTGGAGTTTGTAGATGGGTAGGAATTCAGTGCAGTGAAAGGGAGGGAGTTTGGTTGGAAATGTTGGAGTTTGTAGACAGGGAGGAGTTCAGTGCGGTAAAAGGGAGGGAGTTGGGTGGTCACAATTCGACCCCCAGAAAACGCGACTCTCAATTGAGAGTTGCGTTTTCAGAAACCCTACCTAGCCTAGCCCATTTTTAGGATGTCCACTAGTAGGTGGCGGGTAGTATTACCCGCTTTTCAGGGTCACCGGGTCGGGTATACCCGAACCCGCCAAGTGGGTATTGTATTACCCGTCCCCTAAGGCCAGGTCCGGGTAAGGATGCTGAACATAACCCAACCCGGACCCGACCCGAAAATACCCGACCCGAGGTTGGGTATTGCAAAACTGGGTCGGGTCAGATAATTATCCGGTTTTGCTCAAAAATAGTCTGAGAGTCAGAATGTAAGGAATATCCATTCCTTACTGACCCGACCCGAAAATATGCGAAAATACAAGTCAATGCTCAGCGTCAATAAGGTACTAGCAGGAACCTCAGCAGGAGCGGGCAATAAGGACCCGTTCTTGCGTCGTGTCATCCGCCAGTGTCGTCCAAATTTGCCTGTAAGCTAGGGTTAGCCGAGCCTAGCTCGCACACAAATTTCGGACGACACTGGCGGATGACACAATGCAAGAACGGGTCCTAATCGCAAATGGTCCTCGGGCGTGGACGAAAGCACGGATTTTCCAATGCAGTTACCCTAGCGCTATACAGTACTGACAGAATCCAGTTTCCAAGGTGAAATCCAGCTTCTGGAAATCGGGCCGTCCATTCCGTGCTGGAGAGCTAATCTCAAGGTGGGGCCAAAACCGAGCCCACAACTAAATTTCTCCCAAAAATGCCGACATTCATAACAAGCTCCGCAAAACATATCGGGAGGCTGAGCAGTCGAGTGGCGAATCAGGCCGGATACCTATGTCATGTCATCCGAGGATGTCATCGTACCAAGGGGCGAATCGAGTATCTTTTGAGATTGTCGGAATGTCTTCCGAAGCTGATAGAATGTCAAGCATTGCGTCGGATGTGCGATCATTTGTGTCTCGTGTTGACACGAAAACGTTTAAACGACCCCAAAATGCGTTAACGAGATTTAGTTGCCCTCTTACGAAAAACTGTTGGAACATTTCCATCACTTCATAGAGGCATGACAGTGCGGCAGTAGATATTTGCCATAAATATATATTTTAACGCGGCGGGCTTCAGAGACGACCGGAAGCAGATCAACCACGTGTTAACACTGTTGCAAGGGGCCGCCCTACAGTGGTGGAAGGTCATCGTCGACATTGCGACCACTCGTACAGAAGGACAGCACGAGTGGTCCGGAGAATTCGGCGACGAAGACGAGGCAGATCTGTTGTTCGAGCGACCCACATTCGCACATGGGCACTGTGGTGCGCACAGCTTCGCAAGCGGTTTGAGCATGCTCCTGACTCAGACAAGGCACGCGAAACTCTACGCATATGGAAGCAGCTGGGATCTGTGTCCGAGTACACCGCGTCGTTCCTGACATTGGTGGACAAATGTGGCTACATGCACGAGTTGGAGAAGGTCGACAGGTACATGGGCGGCTTGAAGCCTAAAATAGAGTATCAGATAAAACTGCAACGCCCTGCGAAGCGGTTACAAGACTACATCCAGCTCGCCGAAGCCGCTGATTCGATCACAAAGCTGAGGACGAACTTCTATGATGGAGGTCGCCCTCGAGAACAGTACCGGCGCGCCACGATAAAAGGGGTGGACGCAGTGGATATTTACACAATTGCTCCGCGAAATATGGGGCTATGCTACCACTGTGGCCGGCCGGGACACATCCGACGCAATTGCCAAGACGAGGAAACTCCTTGAAGACCCAAGAAATTATCAGGATTCGCTAAAGTTATCTTATAAAGATGCTTTAATGAAAAATTGTAATTCTCGAGGGGCTAGAGCCTTGGAGAGATTTCGGGAGGGAATCCAGAAGAGGCAAAAAAATGTGGAGATCATACCGGTACCGGAAAACTTGGGGACCAAATTAAGGAGTGTGGAAAGAAGCCGACCTTTCCACGGAGTCAACGTCCTCTCCCGACACCAGCCCACAGCGACTACTCGTTCCCCAGGGAAGATGTCGGTGGAGCTGAGCGGCTTAAGAGGAAGCTGGGGGTCTACAAGAAGCTGCGAAAACCCCGAACTCCTCCTTTGGATGCATCCAACTTGGCAACTTCGTCAACGACACGAACGGTGGTTACGAAAACTCCAAGCCCTGGAGAAGAGCCTTTCTCCAAGCAGCCTCGGCCAGCAGCCAGCTCAGGAGTAGGAAGCAACGAATATTGGGATGTACCCTATGACCCAATCAATGAAACTTTTTTTGGGTACTCTGAGCAACGCCTGCCCATCGTGCTCGAGGTCATCTGCAAAGGACGGCGCCTCCAAGCACTCGTGGACAGTGGAGCATCGCACACCGTATGCGACAAGACAACCATCGACCGACTTCGAGAAGAGTACAAGCCATCAGCGTTTTCTGCAACGATGGTGAACGGCAGCAAGTTACTAGTATACGGTGAAGCAATGCTACACCTACAAATCGGTCCACTGCGCTAGAAACCTGCTCTCCCCATCACCAATATAAAAGGGCTTGACTTGATCTTCGGGCGAGACTTCCTAAAACGATTCAACCCCGAGATCAACTAGGTAGATCGTACCGCAAACATCTACAACAAAGGAAGGAGAGTCCAGCTACCCAACTGGGATGATACAGGAGATATCCCAGTGGAGACACTCGCCAGGTTCGAGAAGGACGTGAAAAGAACCAACACTGGGTTCCTGGCGTTAGCAACAGACGCGGAGAGGGACGAAGAGAAGACCTCGGAACCTCCAAGAGAAATCAAGGAAATTCCGAAGGAGTTCCAAGACATTCTTCCCGACGACCTCCCGGACGAGCTACCGCCATACCGAACGCACCAACACGAGATCGTGGAGGAACCAGGTTCGAAGCCGACCTTCCGAGCACAATATCGGCCAAGCCCCACAGAACTAGCCGGCATGAAGAAACAGATCGAGTATCTCCTCACCAAAGGACTCATCCGACCATCCACTTCCCCGTACGGTGCCCCAGTACTCTTCATACCGAAACCGGACGAAAGCCTGCGCATGTGCATTGACTACCGGGCTCTCAACAAGCAGACCATCAAGAAAAAATACCCAATCCCATGAATCGATGACCTGCTTGACCAGCTTCGGGGAGCCACGGTATTTTCAAAATTAGATCTGCGGTCTGGATACTGGCAGATAAGAATGGAGGACGATTCCGTTCACAAAATTGCCTTCTGAACTCGGTACGGATCGTACGAGTATCTGGTAATGCCGTTCGAACTCACCAACGCACCTGCAACATTCCAAGCAGAGATGAATCACATCCTAAGCCCACTTTTGGACGAATGCATGGTGGTGTACTTGGACGACATCCTCGTCTACTCGTACGACATGCGACAACATGTTGAACACCTGCGACACGTCTTCGAGATTCTTCGACGAGAACGCTTCTACGTCAAACTATCCAAGAGCAACTTCGCCCTCGAGAAAGTCAAATTCCTTTGACATATCATAAGTGCTCAAGAAGTTCACGTCGACCCCAGGAAAATCGAAGCCGTGCGTACGTGGAAAATACCCGAACACGTGAAGGAGTTACAGCAGTTCCTTGGCTTCACTAACTACTACAACAAGTTCGTGCCGCAACACGCAAAAATCGCCGCACCACTCACGAATGTGCTGAAGAAGAATACGCCCTATAAGTGGGAACCAATGCATCAAGAACCCATGGAGCAGCTGAAACAAGCACTCACGTCCGCACCCGTACTCATCTTGCCAGACCCCGAACGCGACTACGCCATCGAAGCTGACGCCAGCGACCAGGCAGTGGGAGCAGTCTTGATGCAAGACCAGGGGAATGGATTGCAACCAATTGCCTACCTCAGCAAAAAAATACACTGAGCAGAACTCAACTACCCGATACACGACAAGGAGGCTCTTGCCATCAACATCGCCTTCAAAACGTGGAGATGTTATCTCGAAGGACGCAAAACAATAGTCTACACAAACCATTGCAGCCTAAAATATTTGAAGACACAACCAAGCCTCTCCAGGTGATAGGTTTGGTGGATCGACTTCCTCGAGACACACTACCAATACGACATCGTGTACAAGCCTGGCCATAAAAACAAAGCAGATGCACTTAGCCGGCCTGCACACGTTGCTGCTATCCAAATTGAAGGGATGAATTTCACTCCTCAAGGGACTCTTCACACATACGGGTACACCATCGACCCCGAAATTCCCTTGGCAGAAAAGCAACATCTGCTACAGTGGGACAACGACATCGCGTACCAGAAAGGGTCAACGAAGATCTGGGTACCTAATTACCCTCCTTTGTGCCAGTTACTACTCAAAGAATACCACGACGTCCTGTACGCAGAACACTTCGGTAGCAACAAGACGCTCACCGGTATCGCCAAACACAATTACTGGCCCCACATGGCAGATGACGTACAAAAATTCGTCACTTTGTGCATTACATGTCAGCGGATGAAGAGCAGCAAGCAGAAAAAGACGGGTCTGCTACAGCCTCTTCCTATCCCAGAACAGCCATGGCAAGTGGTCAGCCTAGACTTCATCACCAGGCTACCAACTACCACAAGCACTCATGACGCGATCCTCGTCGTCATCGACAAGTTCTCCAAAATGGAACACTTCATCCCAACACACACGACAGCACTTACCAAGGAGACAGCACAACTATTTGTTCGCTACATCTTCACACAACATGGCATTCCAACCACGCTCATCTCCGACCGAGACCCTAAGTTCACCAGTAAATTCTGGAAAGAACTGATGTCTCTACTCGGAACCAAACTTGCCATGTCATCCGCATACCATCCGTAGACAAACGGTTCGACCCAGCGTCTTCACCAAATTGTGGAGCAACTCCTCCGTGCAGCCTGCAAGGACAAAGTCTCCAAATGGGACTTGCATCTGCCCGTTCTGGAGTTTGCTTACAACAATGCTACTCACGCCGCTACTGAATAGACGCCGTTCTTCCTCAATTATTGTTGGTGCAACCCTATGGCTTGCACTCGGCTTGTCATCCTTGTTTGTGTGTGTGCATGCATGGCATGGAATGAATTGTGAGTCTATGTCATTGCTATCTAGTGCTTGTGTGTGTGTTTGAATGGTGTATCACAATGTGGTTTGTGTCGGTCAAGACATTAGCGAGTTTTTACAACTCGCATGTCAAGTCGCCGTTTGCGTGTCGCATGTGTTTTTTCTATTTTGTCGAGTGTGAAGTGTCAATCGCGTTTCAGGTGTGTGCAGCAAGCTCCCATCAACTCAAGAAGAATTTATCTTGCAGAACCAAGACCAAGAGCTCAAGATTTCAAGCCCCAAGGGACACGGATAAATATTAAATAGTGAAAATAGTAACGCTACTTCGTGTAGTGTTACATTTCACTTGGTGTAGCCCCTTGGAGGGTTTGTTTCGAGACTCTTCATGGTTGGGGACTCTGTGGTGGTGTACCACCAACCTGGACCTCGGCTCTTGGGGTATGTAGAGGCTGGGAACCATCTCCATCTCGCCATACAGACTATAGTGGCTGCTGTACCTCCTGCCAGTCAATCCGCCATAGCGTCGTCAAATCTTCATGGAATTTTATTATTTAACTTGCTGCTGATAGGCGACAGCAACGCGCTCCAGATCCAATTTAAAGATCACCGTTTAAAGGCACACATAAGATCGGAAACAACATTTGAAGCTGTCTGACGGAATTCTGACTGTGCACAGTTTCTCTCATTTTAGGCACATCTGAGCCTATTGTGATTATAACAGTTACAGACGCCCTGCTCACACCACAACAGCCAACTATACCAGCCACAGTCCAACCCGCTCATGATTTCATCACGACCATGCACAAACTTTGGGATCGGACCCACAAGCGCCTTCTCGACATTCAGCAACAACAGAAGCGCCAGGCCGGTCGGCACCACACAGACCACACCATCACCGTGGAGACCGTGTACTGCTCGAGAAGCGCAATCGTGACATCAGCCATCTCTCATCCAAACTGTGACCTCGCTTCAGCGGGCCTTTTCTCGTTGAAGCACAAGTCACTCCTGTTACCTTCCGCTTACGCCTGCCAGCTACTTGGAAGATTCATAATGCCTTCCATGGTCAACTCTTGAAGCCCTACCGAGATCCCACCACGCTCTTCTCTTGACGCCAACCGCCGCCGCCGCCGTCCGTCCTCGTCCATGATGAACCCGAGTACGAGGTCGAGTCCGTGCTTGCTCACCGCCGTCGACGCAATGGCAACGTGGAGCTTCTCATCCGTTGGAAGGGTTATGATCCTTCAGAGGATCGCTGGGTCTCTGAATCCGAGATGGATCACGCTCGTCGTCCTCTTCGCGACTACCTTGTCATGCAGGGTGTTACGTCTACCACCCAGCTTTAAGGGGGGAAGTGTGAGAGTACGACCCCGTTCCATTCCTTTCTCCTTTCCATATTCCCTTTTCATTTCATTCCTCTTTTTATCCTGATTTATTTGGTCTTTATCTCATTCCATTTGGATCCCTATTCCTCCTTTTCCATAAACCTTTGGTTTATCCTATTATTATCATTATATCACCGACCAGGCTCGGGGTGTATTGGCACGCTATATCTAGCATAATCCTGTCGTAATCATTTAAAACCAATAGCCTCGCGTGGCTATACGCAAGGTGATTCTATTTTCTAGAAGGGTCTATTCCCTTGGGATAGGATAGACCTGGTTACCTGATGTACCTTGGAAGTATAAAAGCGCCTTGTACTGATCAATAGTGCAACCTTTCCTCGACACATTCGATCCTGTGACACTGCAGGCCCAACGGAATCTCAACCGACAGATCCGATGGCTCGATTTTCTCGTGTCAAATTTCCACTATACCATCATCTACAAACGGGGCGCCAACAATATTGCTGATGCCTTGACCTGACCCACTGCTTGTACAGCCGCCATACTAGTCGCCCAAACCGGCCCACTCCTTACCAGATTGTTTACCCACGACTACAAATTCGACCCCTTCTTCCGCTCCGCCATTCACCAACAGCATACCACCGCTACCGGACACTACGTTTTTATGTGTGACACTTCCTGCATCTGGGTTCCCGGCTACGATTTACTGTATATCCTTCTAATCCAGGAATCCCACGACAATCCTACCTCCGGGCATTTCAGAGTTGACAAAACCATGAAGACGCTGCAGCACAATTATTACTAGCCGAACATGGTCAACGACGTGCGCAAGTACGTGTCCTCCTGCACCGCCTCCCAGATCATGAAATCATCCCATCAGCGAGCTGCCAGACTCCTACAGCTGTTGGATCCGCCCGAGAGACCCTGGCAACACGTCACGATAGACTACGTCACAGGACTGCTGGCCGGTCCTAGCGGAAACGACGCCATCCTCGTGGTCGTTGAGCGACTCAGGAAAATGGCGCACTTCATCGCCTGCCAACCGAAAATTACAGCCGAGCAAAGTGCACAACTATTCATCGCCAATGTCATCAGACTGCACGGACTGCCCATCGCCATTATTTCAGACCGAGACCCGAAATTCACATCGAATTTCTGGCGTCACCTGTGGGACCAGTTTGGTACAGGTCATATTCCCTTTCACCCGGGG